TCTCCTACTGAAGAGTACCATAACGAAATAGACGACATCATAGTAAATCGAAGATTTTCACTAATTGATTTCACTGTTGTCTCGAAATTCTAAACGGGATCGGACTAATGCCTTTTTCGTGCAATGTTCAAATTCTGGCAGAAAGAAGAAAAAGTCGCTAAATTGAAGAAACCAAGTCCGAGAACTACCGTAAACTGGGATTAATTCAGTTCATTAGTCAGCTATTGAGAATATGAAGTTCTTGATAACATCGACGAAAAACATGATCATTCAACGTCTTCACGCTAGCGCTATGAAAGCAGAGACTTCGAAGCCACCAAGGGACGTCTTTCTCCAAAAACACTTGAGATGATACGCTAGCGTGGAATCGCGCGAGCTGCAAGCAACCGATAACTCACGCCTGAAATAGCGAAACAACACAGGCGGGAGATAAATGATCTTAAAGAAAGAACAGCAACAGTTATGGTCGGAGTTGCAGAAACTGGGAAAAGTATTCGCAAAGCCCACTGAAGCTTCGCTAATGACAAAATCAAGATGATTGCACTCCGATACGTTGACGGAATAGTTACAGTTTTGAGAAGAGCAATGGAGAAAACTACTCAAGATCTTGCCCTCATGCGAAATAAAGAAGGATGGATATATTGATCCATTTGTTCTCCTTCCGGAATTCGACGCGTTATTTCGTCGTTGAGGAACCGAACAACACCAGGATAGGACAAGATCTGTACATGGAAAAACTTTCCGCAATCCACATAAACATAATAATCTGGCTCCTCTCGTGTTAACTGTCGGAATGCAATGTTGTTATTCAACAGAAGACCAGCAAGAATGTGTGTTTATTCAAGAAGGGTGAGCTCCACGATATCGGCAACTATCGCCCATTTGTTTGCTGTCTGTCGTCTTGTTTACCTCGTTTTGCCGGTAAAGAATTCAACATTATGGCCTTGAGCTAATGTGTTCTCTGAGTCGCCTTCATTTCTCCTTGTTGTTCTTTTCTCTGAAAATAGATTTCCATATATCCGCTTCGCCGACAAAGCAACGTTTTACGGACGAGAAAGGTTGTACAAGATTAGGAAGATAATCGACTTCCACCTGTATCATCTGTCGTCCCGTTGTGATCGTCGAGTGACTCAAGCGGGCGATAGCAGATCTTCTATTTTTATCAGTTCCATGCAAGAGCAGTCCAATGGGTTCTGTTCTTTCCAAGGATACGTTGAGCGTCACATCTTTCTTCTCGGGTTCTCTCGGAAAAACTCTGATTATCGAACCAGTAGTCTTCCTGCAATACGTTTGAGATCCCGAGGAATCCAATCACTAATGGCTTTTTTCCATCGGTCGTCGTTCAATTCGAATTACATGTTCAGCTCACCTCATTTTCGACAGTTTGGCCTATAGAACGGCACCCTATTTGATTTGCTCTTCCTTCTATGACACTTATAACTCGCATCAGATACAGTAAGTCATACTTATGAAAAGGAATGATTTGTAATAACCACATGGCTATTACAAGTCACTCTTTCTCATAAAGAATTAAAATAGGAAAGTTTAATATAGCCCTAAATGGTGAAATGTGCAATGTGATTTTCATTACTACTATGATACAGTGGTCGGAGGCGCCCTGCAACAAACACGTGGAATCGCTCCTGAGGCCCATGGCCCACCAAGTTTTCCATCCCTCCGAGTATTTGGCATATTCCACTAGACTTGTCTGCGAGGATAGCATCACTGGCTCGGTATATCGGTAGGCCACGGCGAGTCACTGTATAGGTCAGACATGCATCCAATCACCTCCAAACGATGCTTAATGAATTCGCATGGTGCATCCCTTAGGGATTGATCGGCGCCGAGAACTTTGTTCTTTTTTATTTTTTTATAATGCAGGACAAAGTTGGAGTATTTTTTAGCGTCCTTTCCTGACGAAAGCACTCAAATACCAGCTGAGGAAATTCCGCTTAGAGTATGAACCAGCTCTGTACATCCTAAGTTTACATCCAGTGACACCTGTTAATCACGACAAGGCCAGTAACTGTTAAGGGTCACACCAAATACTGAGCCAAAAATTCGGCAGTGATAAATCCTTGAGGTAAGCACTGCGCCTCCGTCTTTCATCAAGCATCACAGAGCTGATTGAACGCATACCTGTGCTATAAAAGAACTTGTTCTGGACTAGCGATGAATCGAGATTTTTGTCTTTCCAAAGAAGTCTGATACTAGTCCGCCGACCTCGAATAGATGAAGGGCTTGGCGAGCGCGATGGTGAGATCGAACCGTGATAAGCAAACCTGTATGTATGGCATTGTACCACTAACTACTGCGCAACACGTTCCCCAACCAAAAAGAACAGAATAAAAGTAGAAAGTGGTGAGAACAAAAATATGAAATATAATACCTTAAAAATAAATGAGTCATATGAGAAATGTTTGCTTTTATTTGCTTTTCGTATCCCTCCGCGGATTCCTCTAACGAGCGTAATACAATGGCTAGCTCTGGACGTAACACTAGGAGGAGTGCAGACTTTATTGCCTAATTTGAGGACACCGGAGGGACGAGGCTAGGTGGACCCGTGCGCAGGGATGGATTCTATGGCAGGGGGCCTCTGACCACTACACTACACGCGTACCATTAACAACTGTAGTAAAGGGAGTTTCCCGGAAGCCTTGCTACTATAGTAATATTCAAAAGACCAGTTGTTTAAGCGAATTAGAATAAAAACACTGGTGTTACGCGTAAATGAATCCATCCATCTATTTATTCACACACACACACACACACACAAGTCTATTATGACGAAAGCATAACCCGAAACCGAATAATGTAGACGAACTACATAACTTTGTGAAACCTATACATTGTAAGTCAAAACACAGGCTCTTTTTCTTCGATAAGTAAACATGAGGGTGATATCAACCTCGCATTTGCTTATCGAAGAAAAGCAGTCAGCTATCAAACAATGCCCGGGTTAAGAGAAAGTCGGTCTTCGGAACTACAGAATACAAAGGTTTTCATGAGGCAAAAAACAATAGTACAGAAAAGTGATCGAAAGAGGTTCAAAACTGAAAGAATGAAACAGCTGACAAAACGCAATATACAACTTATTCAACATAAGAAACGTTTGACAAATTGGTCACTGGCGCAACGATTTATTTACACAAATACCCAATATTTTAAGAGAAAATTTGGATAAGCTGGTAAAGAAACGTTTACATCATCACTTAGTAGGTCGGATGAGCAGGATATGGTTGTGGATAACCTTGTTGACCATAGCCGGCTTGTGGATAGCCTTGGTTCGGAGGATAACCTTGATTTTGTGGATATGCTTGTGGCGAATACTGTTGCATTGGATACTGTTGAGAATAATCAGCTAGAAGAAGACATAATTGGTAAGAACACAACCACTGTGAACAAGGAGAAAGAACAGGTTATAGGACCTTTACACATTTAAATGTGCTCGAACGTAGCACATCGAGATGAAATTCAAAATGTGATAACGTGTAAAATGGTAACGCTTTAAATAAACATAGGGATGGGGTACATGGAAAATCCAATCCACCTAAAGAGCTTCGCCAGGATTTCGCATGAGGTTGAGGAATGAGTACCTTTATATTACATACAAGATAAAAGACGACCAGCAGCATTTGCAGATGAAGAAAATTACTCATTTTTAGCAGCTCATTTTCTATCGCTTTAACCTAACACTCATTTTTAAGTTCTAATTAGTAAGAAGTGAGCTTTCCTTGCATGAGTTAGCTGTAGCAATAAAAAAAGGATAAAGCTCTCGGTGTTGATCAACCCCCGAGGGATGTGCCATGCATTCGACTTCATTAAGCATCGTTTGGAGGTGATTGAATGCATATCCGGCCTTTACAATGACACGCGGTGGCCTATCGATGTATCCAGCCGGTGCTGCTATCCTCCTAGGCAAGTCTGGTAACAATCTGGCGACCTCGGAAAGATGGAAGGTTTGGTGAGCCACAGGCATGCGGATTGATCCCACGTGTGTGTTGCAGGGTACTTCCGACCGCTGCGCCACACGCTGTAGCAATAACGCAGTTAATAACCACTCATTCTTAAATGCAAGGAAACAAACTCTTTCTATTAATTTGAAATGCTTCGACGCGATGCCAACTTAACCAGGGACTGGAGCCTTCAGAACTTCCCACTCAATGCATTTGCCATCCAAAAGCATACATTCCTTTGAAAAACGTAGAAAGAATCTCGAGACATTTGCCTGGTGTTCGTGGTTATGATGACAGATGTCGTTGATAAAGCGAGAACTAACCTGGATAGGCGCCATCTTGCTTGTTGCTTCTTTGAGGCAAAATTCCATCGAAAGCTGAGCGACAAAATTTGTAAGCAAGAAATCCACAACAGCAACATGATAGCACAGCCAGCAAAAGAAGTCTGAAAGATTCGAAGCTGATATGGGATACACTGGAAAGAAGGGACAACGACATTAAACGTGAAACAACATAGCGACCGTGCGCATGCATGCCAAAGCTATGCTTCTGGAACGACTATCCGGTGGTTCACCTTGCGGAAGTAGGTATCTTCCTCAACAGTGCTGATCGCTGACGTCATGCGCTATCTCCTTCAACGCAGTTCCAAGAAAAAAATCCACTTCAGATCTTGTATGAATTAAAACCCAAAGTTAGCGTTAGATTTTTTGGAACATTTGAACGGAACCACGACACCAAAAGAAAGGTTGGAAGAACTAAGCTATGTGATCAGTGCTATATCAAAATAACCATTCAAAACTGAGCCAACGAAACATTGAAACTTCAAGAGAACAACGAAAAAACATTTGCGTCGAAGCAAAATTAGAGGAGTGAAAGGAAGTAAAAATTTAATAAATGGGTTCACCATTGAAAATGTGAGCTGTTAGCAAAAACAAACCTTTGGGGATTAGACTTTACATTCGATTAATTGGCTGTGGTGTTGATCTAGCTGAGAGCTATTCAAAAAATGAAGGAATAAATGGTATATGAAGTGATACTTACTGTTCAATATAGCCCACGCAGAATGAAAGAGAAATATATGAAGCACATCTCTAACCCGATGGCGAACCCTGCCATGTTCCGTGCAATTCCGCCCACTCCAGATCCTCCGCCACTCGCTGAGTTGCTCGGTGCAGGACAACAATCGGTGCCACAGCAGACCTCCACACCTCTACGACATGCCCATGTGATCTGCTTTGGACGAGTTCCGTCGGCAAATTGCAACTGAAATCCATACGGAGTTATTTTTCGATTACTTCAATCACAAAAAGAATCAAACGGATATAAACGCCCGTAAGATTCAAAATCGCCGCTACCCATTTCAAATAAGCAGTTGGTCTATGTGAAAATCAAGAGTGTGCAAACGTCCAAAAACTCTCGCTAACACTGCTTTAAATTTTCGACGAAATCTGTACCAAAAATCCCTATAGACTTCTTTCATGAAAACTCTTTCCCACTGCCACTATTATTACAATATACACCCAATCAAAACATAACAGGTCTACGTCAACACCGGTTTGAAGTAGCCTTGTTCTTGGGACCGCGTTAATCTCACCGCTGTCCATTCTAAAGTTAATTTCTCCTATACTATTATCTGACAACAGCTTTGACACAGTTCTGCAACTCACGCTGTTGAGAACTTGATCTGACTGCGGTGCCGTGGCGGTGGCCGTCTCAACGGCAGTTGCCGGTTCGCTTGCATTGGGTGTGGCTGGTTTCACCTGAACGGTAACATTCATAAGAACGAAGCAGTGTGATCTATAAAAGAGTTGCTGGGAACTACCGTAATAAGTAAAAAACACCCTTACAAAAGGATTCTTGCATTGCTTTAAACCTTAACGGTCCATCATTAAATAACAACCACACCGATTTCAGCTCAGAGTAAATGAAACTCTATATAAACTCTTCCTCTCTTTTATTCTTTTTTGAAGAATTCACTACTTGAACTATTCGCCACATCATTCTGATCCGAAAATGGTCCCATAGAGAGGACCAACACCGATGGGCTAGGGTGAATGAGAGCCGCACCTGCTGTAGCTGGCTGAGCGGCATCGAGCAGAGGATTTCGTTGCCCTTCGGCTGATAGTGGTTATCCCAGTAGTAGTCATGTCCACCATAGTTGAACGGCCTCGTCGCCGACTGGATGATCGCCTTTCCGGCTTCGAAAGCCACCAAACCTGCACAACAGCATATTTAGAAAAGAGCAGAACATGTAGGAAGCGTAGACCTTGAAGGAACAAAGTGATCATACATAGTTAAAGATTTCTCCTTTCAAAAAATTAAATTTCAAGAATTTTCACCTCTTATACAATTTATAGGATGAAACTCCCAACTGATAGGATGGGGATTTGATGGGATGAATTTTGGTGTCAAGTAATGAATATCTGCGTCTCTTCAATCTTTTTGTACTACGTTTTCGCACAGTGTTTTTCATGGTACACTTTTATTTCCCGAAACATTAAAGAAATTTAAACCAGCCAAAAAATGCAACACGCGTTTTACCGTGCTTTTTCATTATGAGCGCATTTCGTGTGTCTTCTTTGTAATGAAGAAAGGCTAAGAAGCTTGTTGACTGATAATATTAAAGCGATGACGTTCTTGGGTCCTGAACTGCTTAGAAGCTCAACGTTTTACTTCGAAAGGCGAATTAGAAGTAAACAAATACCTGTTTTGCATGGGACCTTTTGCAATGTGCGGAAACCTCCTCTTATTTATAGACGACAGCAGCAGTTCTGGTGATTGAAAACATCTTGGAACGCGGGATTTCAAAGGAATCGTGTCAAACCAGCAGTTAAGTGGAAAAAGTGTTAGGGCAAACACGACTCACCAAGAAGACATGCCAGTTAAGTAGGTATCGCGTAAGTACATACGTGTATCCACGCAACTTCCACATCTAAGGGGCCAAAATCCGTTAACGATCTCCCACAGTTAAAATTGGCGGAAAGGGCGTTGAAAATGGGTCAAAAGCAAACATGACTCTCCTTAATACATATGTGTTCGTGTACTTAAGTCTAAATAAATTGCACTCTGCCTTCTGATTTTGTCAAATCCTCCAGTGAAGTGATTGGAAACTAATTTGATATCTTCCTGAATCGCTCGCGACTGATGTTCGTTGAGTGGTTGAAAAAAGCAAAGGTTCCAGTGAACTAGCAAATAGACACCACCTATGAAGACCGTAACTAGTTCAGCTTAGTCGCGAAGAAGCTCAATATTCGTACCTTGAATGCTAGTTAAGAGTTAAGAGACTTGCTGATGGAGATTAGATTTCCTTCGTCTAATTTCTGAGCCATTGCATTGTCCTGGGTAGGTTGATTTATCCCGAGGATTTAAACTGTACTAAAATATAGGGGCACGACAGCAAATATGTGATCCATAACAGCGGAGCACTGCATACGATGAGCACCGGATGTCGAACATAGGTAGGGAATACGTATGTATGTATGTATATATATATATATAAGTATGCATATATATATATTCATATATATATATACATATGTATATACATATATATGCATATATATATATACATGTATATGTATATATGTATATACATATGTATATATATATATATGTATTTGGAACCGAAAGAATCCCAATTATAATGATAGACCTTTACAAAAAAAATTGAAACCATCAGTACTTGTTTAATTCTAGAACATATAGCAGTTACAAATGAACTTCACTAACCAGAAGTGAATTAAACTCTTTCGACGATTCAAGAAGGTTTTGCTCAGAAAGATTCTGAGTAGACGGCGCAAACTAATGGTGAAAAAAAAATAAGGATCAAGAAATTCGATATTTCAGCATAGATTTCTGAAGGATACATACAAAAGTAGTCGTCTTAGCAGTGCCAGCTCACTGCAACCCACCTCCAACTGCACCAAGTGCTCCTCCGATGAGTGCCTTCTTGAATGTGCCACTGCTAGCTTGAGAACCAATTCCTGTACCCCCACGGAAACTAGAGAAGGAACAAAATTACAAGAAATTCGTACAAAACGTAACAAAGAGTGTATAATTCTGTAAATAATAGCACTTACCCTCCTTGATTGGGATGAAAACCTCCCTGTGGATGAAAGCCACCCTGTGGATTATATCCGCCCTGCGGATGGAATCCTCCTTGGTTCGGCGGTGGGCGAAATCCGCCCTGGTTTCCTTGCGGCTGATAGCCGCCAAATTGCCCTAAATTCGAAAAGAACGAAGTACTTTACTGAAATTGAAGTATAACGAAGAACTTCCGGATTTTCGAAAACTGAAAATATTTTGTCGATGACTCGAAAACTTGAGGGATTGCGAGGATAACAGAAGAGGCCTTACGTTATCGATCTAATGGTACAAATACGACTTCCCAAAAACATCACTTTAGTTTCGCACTTGCAAAAATTCTAGTTCTCAAAGAATTGGAGGAAAACTCGAAATCTCTGAGAGCCGTAATTAATACAAGTTCGGCAGCCTTAAATACCCAGCTCGCATTCGGGGGAAGCACTATGTTCTGCTAGATGGAAATTCCGCTTTTCCAATTGCTTCGTTGATCGAAGTGTGAGTCTCAACGAGTAGAAAACGGAGTCAAAAATAAGTTTCTCTCTAAAATAAACCAGAACTTCATTTTGGTAAAAAAGTAAAACTTTCTCCTTAATGGAAAAGATCTGTGAATTTCAATGGTTTTTTTAACACTAATGATAAACTTAACCCTTTTATTTACTGCCTTTTTCTTTTAAATGGCAGGGTATGTTGCAAAATATAACTACTATAATGCTGAGATATTTGCCAAACTCCTGACCGCATGTGTCTGCGGCGGGAAACGAACGTGCTATTGTCCTTTCCGGGGAGTAACGCGTTCACCACCATACCATGCGGGTCCTCCGTTTCGACTGTCTCTCAGCTAGTTCTATCGATCTTTTGCCAACAGCAATCAGCCGTCAGCGGGATTGGTCTGGGGGGCCCAAATCGGCAACGAACCCAGTTAAGCTGAGGCTATAGTTATAATCACAATCTTAATCTTTTTATTTACTGCCTACTATAATTTCGCGGCAGGGTACTAAGCGAAATACAACCACAACGTTGCTGAGATATTTGCAAAACCCTGGACTGCAGGAAATCCCGCTGACGGGTGATTGCTGTGGCAAAGATCGATAGAAATAGCTGAGAGACAGGCGAAACGAAGGACCAGCATGGTGTGGTGGTGAACGCGTTACTCCTCGGAAAAGACAATAGCGCGTTCGTTCCCCACCATAGACACCTGTGTGTGTGTGACACATATTTCGTTTAGTACCCTGCCGCTAAATTATAGTAGGCAGAAAATAAAAAGGTATAACATGTTGATAAGTTCC